TGGTGTTGCCTCTGGATGAATAGGACCCCGATCGATCGAGCCGGTTGGGGCTGGATGAACAGGACGACCCCATGGAGGGCTGAATGAACAGTAGCCCGTGGAGGGGTGGTTGAACAGGAGCCCGTGGAGGGGGCTGGTTGAACAATAGACGGTGGAGTAGCGCGTGGTGGAAGCTGGATGAACAGGAGCCCGTGGATGAATAGTCGTAGGTGGAGGCTGGAGGAGGTCGATGGTGGATGAACAGTAGCACGTGGAGGCCAGAGGAGGTCGACGGTGGAGATGAACAGTATCCCGTGGAGTCCCATTTTATGGTACGCCACACCCCTCCCGATGAACAGGACCCCCATTTCGACCGTAGCGCTCCAACACAAGTCTGTTTCCTCTGTTTTGCGGTATGCCACACCCCTACCGATCAACATACCCCGTTTCGATCGTAGGAGGTCAAACAGAAGTCCGTTTCCTCCGTTTTGCGGTACGCCAGACCCCTCCCGATGAAGAGGATCCTGTCTCGAACGTGGCCGGTCAAACACAAGGCCGTTTCCTCCGTTATGCGGTACGCTAGGCCTCGTTTCCATCGGCTGTTCCGTCCAAGCCGGTTGGCTCCCACGTGTTCCGTTGCCTCTCGATGAACATGACGCATTCCGTTGGCTCCCCATGAACACGACGACGCAGTTTCTCCGTTTTAACCTAGCCATGTACACGAGCCCTGGCCGTACGTATGTGCGAGTAGGCATTCGAGATCCTGCCCGTATGTACGTACGTGGCCGTATTTACTTTTTTGCACCCTGGCCGCTGTATGTACGTGTATATGCTGCGTGCATGCCTCTACTATGACACGTGCACGTCTACATCGACCAGTATGTACGTACACGTTCGCGACCAGAATGACAATGCTACGTACGCTTCGACTAGGTGGGTCCCGACTGTCAGGCACTTCCTTGCGTGCGAAGATGTAGCTGGTGGGTCCCAGCAGTTAGGGGGGCGAATCATTCTTTTGCCCGTAATATGGACACACTTCCTTGCATGCGAATATGTAGCTGGTGGGTCCCATCAGTCAGGGGGGCGAATCATTTTTTTGCCCGTAATATGGACGCACTTCCTTGCGTGCGAAGATGTAGCTGGTGGGTCCCAGCAGTCAGGGGGAAATGTTTTTTCACGAAATACGGTGGCCTGTCCGGTGGGTCCCTGCTGTCAGGTGGAGAAATAATTATTTTGCGCGTAATAAGGAGGCACTTCCTTGCGGCCGCCGTGGACCCATCTGTCAGCCTCTCCACGTACAGTACTCTTCCGATGGAAGTCGTTCCTTGACCACGTTGACCACGCCGCGCCGAGAGCACCAGGGCGGTGGACGACAGCAAGGCCTAGGAAGGGGACGACGTTGAGCCGGGGAAGACGCGGCAGTGGAAGCCCGCACGGAGAGAAGTACGAGGGTTCACTGGTTCGGCTGTGGTGTGAGGCTTCCGATGACTCTCATTTGTTGACCATGTTGACCACACTGTGCCGAGCGCACCAAGGCCGGTGGACGATGGAGAGGCCCCAGACTGGAACGATCTGGAGATGGGGAAGATGCGACAGTGGAATCACAGATGGAGAGGAGTGGGAAACTTGACTGGTTCGGGTGCGCGGCAGCACTGCCACCCACGGGAGAGAGGAGCAATAACAGAGGTTGAAGAAGGAGCACAGCTGTTGGATTAACATCCAACGGTCCAGCTGCTAGGATCATTTGTTGATTAAGTTGACAAAGCCTTGCGTACATGTCTGCTTAGTAGGCCCACAAGTCAGCCACCAAATCTGCTGGGCCCCACCTGTCATCGGGAGGAATAGTGTTTTTCCCATAACAAGGAGGCACTTTCTTCCGTGCGAAGATACAGCCGATGGGTCCTAGCTGTTAGGGAGAGGAAACAACTTAATAAGGAGGAGCTTTCCTTGCGTGCGACCATGGACCTCGTGGGTCCCATCCGTCAGGCTCTCACGTACAGTCCTCTTCTGATGACTCTCGTTTGTTGACCACCCCGCACCGTGCGCACCGAGGAGGTGGACGACTGCGAGGCCTCGGACTGGAACGACTCGGAGATGGGGAAGATGCGGCAATGGAGTCGCGGGCGGAGAGGAGTGGGAAACTTGACTGGTTCAGGTGCGGGGTGGGCATACACTCGGCAGAGAATAACAGGAGGTGCAGAGTGGAGGGATGGCCTGGCCGTCGGCAGGGTAGCGTTTCGCTGCGAGGCACGCAAAACAACGCCGCTGGACGCTGGAGGCTGGAGTAGGCGGTCCCGACAGCGCTGGGGGAAGAAGATGAGAGATTGAAGAAGAATGCTGGCCGTTGGATGTAAATCCAACGCCTTGTTTAGGCTTCGACCTACTGGCCCACATGTCAGCCAGTCCATTTGTTTTTTAGTCCATTTGGTGGGCTGTGTGAAACAATGATGTAGCATCTATGCAGCCCGTTTATATATATGGTAGATTTAAAGCCCATTTGCATTTTTCTCAAAATCCGCGGACTTGCTGGGCTGGGTGAAAATATCATGTTGGGCTGGACGGAGAATGTTATAAAAACATAAACACACGATTGCACGTCTATTACTGCATTGGTGAGTAAAATCTTTGCAAGCTTATGTACACAATCACTAGGAGTTAACTTGCCAAGTTATATATAAACAATTATTATTATTATTTTGTAAGAACTTTCAATTTACAAAATAAAATATCATTTTAATTTGATGAGTTAATAGGACGTGGGGTATTATTATTTTTTAGACTAGACGTGGGACAGTTGAGTTGGTTCTAGGGAAAAGTACTGAGAGAAACTCAGTTTACATTGAAAAAGAAAGAGGAAGAAAATTCAGATATAGGATTAATGAAAACAAAAAATATAGAAAGTGGGAAGGTCTATAAAATGGTTGGACGAACGATAGGTTTAACGGAACCTTATGTTGTTTCTATTATATATTTATATATATACATATCTTATTATATATATATATATAGGGTAACGCTATTCTAAGCGCGAGTGTAGAATAGCTTATTCTACACCCCAGTAACGGTACGTACAAAATCTAGTAAAGCGCTATGTAAAATGTAGTAATTATGAGATATATTTTTTACTATCCAAGTTTTTTTATTTCTTACATGGTCAAAAAATTTACTATATTTTACATGTTAAGTTACTATATTTTGTATAGAGCGTTACTAGGGGTGTAGAATAAGGTATTCTACACTCAAGCTTAGTTTAGC